AATATTTTTATTTTTCTTTATTTCACGAGGTTCGCATGGGAATATAAACAATAGGATCTTAATTATTTGATATTAACAGTATTAGTGAAGTTAAATTTTAACCAGCCAATGAGAATAGATGAGGGGTAGATTTAAATTTCCAAGAGTTGTAATTGAATACCAAGTATAATACTTTAAAGGATTTTTCGTTTTTGTGATTTTTATGTTTTTATACTAACTCAGTTTATAGTATGACTTTATAATTTAACACATGTCCAGTTGGAAGGTACGCATTTTTTTCATTATTATTGTTGAAATTGATATTACTTTACTTTCGGATTACATCGACAAAACAATTTTCATGATAAATTAAATCAAAACGAAAAAAAAAAAATGTTTCTACCGTTCTCACAAACCCCGTCTAAAATGAAATATTGCATTGAAAGTTAAAGCAATATTCAATAGTTGACTTAAAATGATATTTGGGAGCAACCATTGTGATATATTTTCTGAGACTTCACATTCTTTCATGATCACTCTTCTAAATTCAGTTGAATTTCAAATCACCCGCTTCTTGATTGGATTCAGTCGGCAGACCGTATTCGAGTTTAGTAGCGAAAGAACGGTAGTGTGAACGCGAGTGGCGATGCAGATAGGACGGTGAAGAGGTGTGTTTGTGTGATTTTGTGTGCGTTTGTGTGATTTTGTGTGCGTTTGTGTGATTTTGTGTATGTGTGTGTTGTGTGTGTGTGTGTGCCTGTCTGTACACCCCTCGGGTTTCGGATCTGAGTGACATGGGTTGGAAGTGATGTTTCTAATGTTTTCAAAGCAACTATTTACGAACTCATATATACGACAAGCGAGTAACTAAATAGTGTATAAATTGTAGTGGAACCTGTGAACCAATACGAGAGTGATGATTTCGCAGCTTCAAAGTTTTGTAACCTGAAAATGCACATGTAACCCGACGCAAACGAGGTATGTTTCATCGAAGACATTTATACAATTAATTAAGTATGGCATGGAGTACGAAGTACCGTATGTCATGCAAAGGTAGGAGATCTAATGAGGTGTGTACTCCGTCTTTTTTATCAAAATAAGGCGTAATAAGACCCAAATAATTGCGGAAGCAAGATTCTTCGGTTCTAGAACGTTCGAATTTCGAGAATGTGTACTGATCGTATGTATTTGATCTGCGTAGGCTTGGAAAATTGTTCCTGAATTGTGTAAAGAAATTTTATATGAAATGACTATCCATAGTACATACAACAGTTCTTCCAGCAGATAAGAGAGGATTAGACAAGTACTGCAAAAATACAATTAATCTTGGAGTAATTAAAGGTTGTTATTGAAAAGTAGTGGGGGTGAAGAGGGTTATGGCATGTGTGGACAGCGACAGAGGTGGAGGAGTAGCAAAAGGCCGTGGCTACAACCCTGTTTCAACGAACAGCTCGAAAGACGAAAATATCCCTCGAAAACGAAAAAACCTTCCTTCGGAGGGGAAGTGAAGCCGGCTGTCCCATGCTAGTAGAGCTACTCGCATGTAAAAGATTGTCTAAACGACGTCTTTGAAATCGCCTGTTTCGTCGCCCAGGAAATACTACCTCCTTTCTCCGCTAGTTGGTGAAAGGAGCGTAGCGAAATTTGCGCGGTCAGTTCCATTAAATATTACAGACATGCGAGGTAATTAACAAAATACCTTTTTTAAATACTCAAAAGAATATAGCAAAAACAAACCTATGTCATTTTCACGTGCACTTCACGCTATCCGTAAAAAAATTATGAAGAAAAAATTTGGAGTTGTTTTTGATGCATGTGAGCGTGTCTGAAAATGCGGACGTTTGAGCTCATTTTTACAGAAAACTTTCCAGTTTTCGAAGAAAATGTTTTAAAGCACATTAATAAGATTAAAATTATTTAAAGCCCATTAATGCAATAATGTGAACTAATTGCCTCTAATGTAAACATTAACAACGTGAGAGAAATAAAAAAAATTCTTTCCCGTATTTTTGAAAACGATCAAAAGAATAGAGCAGAATGGCGTTATCTTATAGAGTACATTTAGGACTATCCCTACCAAAAGTGAAAACATGAGCGGTTAATGAAACAATTCTGTTTTTTATTTCTTAATATCGCACATATTTCGCGAAAACTATTATTATTATTATTATTATTATTATTATTATTATTATTATTATTATTATTATTATTA